ATGTACTAGTGTAAGTCCATTAACAGCCTAAGAGGATGACTGACTAAGTCTGGCACTAACTGTAACCTTCACCCAAACAATGGCCGGTGTCCACACAAATTCATACCCTGCTGTGATGATCCAGCAGTAAGTGTATACACAGTGATGTATTACTGCTCAGAACAAGTCTACTTGACAGTTACACTCCAGATAAGCTCTGAGAAAGGTCACTGAGGAAACATGTCACTGAGTGTAGAATTCTTCACCTTCATCTAACAGTGTCTGGATATCAAATGCAGAAGCACATTACATAATAATTTTAATGAGTCGTTAATTACCCTATGAATGGATTAATACTTTGGTAACTAGAAACTTAGTTAGAAATATTACTGATTTTTATATACTCATACTGCCTGCTTCAAGCATTCTATTTACCATAATAGACCTATCTGTACAAATGGTTACTGGCATTGTAGTGTGACAGGAAGAGAATCGTGTGCTTCCACCTGGGATTGAACCCATGACCTCCAGGTCTCAATTCTGATGCTCTCCCACTGAGCTTGATGGAAACTTCCTTTGTGCAAAGCTAGAGATTGACCATGGCACTTTGTACAATTAAAATCTGTCTCAGTAGTGATCCTTCTGAAGCATTTTTCCACTTGTCCATGGGAACCATTTTCATTAAGTTTGACAACAAGCATAATATACTGGATGTTTGACAATATAAATGAAATGGACCAGCAAATATACTATAACACAAACTGAAGTGAAATTGATGGGGATCATATTGTGATAGAGCCAAGCCAGCAATGTCTTAAAATTGTTTTGATTAAAGAAATCTAAATCATTTATCAAAGTTAGCATAAAATTGGATATGATTACACCCATCCTGTGTCAAATTAACAGATATGGACTCAAAATGTATAAAAATATTTTAAAAGTCAAATGATGTTTACATGTCAAGATAATAAAACATGCTTCATGTCAAAAGACACTGCAAAATTCTCTACAGACAAAATTTTTAGAAGGGAATAATTCCTCCAAATATTGCTGAATCTAACCATTATTTAGGAAATCACAATGACACATAATGATAATAAAGCCTTCACAGCTTCTCAAAACAAATGATGACACATCTCTCCTCAAGACAAAGATATCAACAAGAATTATCTGTAATTTTATGTCTTGTCTGGTTTTCTTGGTTCCATATTCCCCCCACCCTCCACCATGAAAAAAACAAAAAAAGAGTGTAGATCAGATGTTGTGATAAAAAATAACACTGAAAACTCATGACATGATACATTACTTGTTTCAACATGACTGTTCACTGAATCTAAACTGAATAGAACAATCTACAAAGGCTTTGTAGTCATATCTCAAAACTTTCTGTTTCTGGCCAAAAAATGCACTAAAACCTAGGAAAACATGATGTATTTAGTGGGTTCAGACGTCCGTACTTCAATGTAACTATTTTGGTTGGAATAGCAGATGTACATGATTTAGAGACCAGCTTCTCAGCATCTCTAATTTGTAAATTATTCTGTAATTGCTGAATGTGTTGATAGAGGTTTCCACTATGTGATCTACATTTACAGCTATATTGTACGTTTGAACAATGAATCTACACGAAAAAACTTTGAGTGAAATGTTGACAAGAACATCGCTTTTAAATTTGATTAGAAATTACACTTGAGTGTATGTACATAGCTTCCTCCACCTCCCGACCTCCAGATTACAGGTCTTTGAAAATTTCTGAGGTGATTACGTAATACCTTTGAAAAAATTGCCTTCACTGACCGCCACCAAAATATAATCAGGTGTAGAGCGTGATGGTGTGATACCATAGCACAAATATAAATTAAATCCTTTGAGGGGTTTGGGGGACATCCTATACACAAACTTTTTATTTCAAAAGTGGTCAAGTGTTACCACTGACCTTTTAACCTTGACTTATGACCACTAAAATCTAATCATGTGTAAAATCTAGAAACATTAATACTATGGTGTAAAGATGATACTAATCTGTCGCGGTTCATCCGATATCTAAAAAATTAAGGTACAGACACAATCTAACAATGACAGAGAAGTTGATCTCCTCCTTACTAAATCAGGATCATGACTAAACACTATGGACCACTCATATTATCAGAAAAAATATTACCTGCCTCATGTACACAGTTCTTACCACCATGAAAGGTAAGCTACAGTGGTGACCGGAACTTTTGTACCGGTGTGAGAATCTGTGTTGACACATCATTACATTTGACTACAATGACTCATTACTGTACGAGTATCAGTGTATTTACAACCTAAAAACTGACCTAAATTGTTGAGTCGATGTGATTACAATGCCAAATGTTAATGTATAATACAAGAGGTGTATATGGCTATTCTCCATATTTGTATGAAAACATATCTTATGATGTGTACTATTTCAACACCTTAGTGTAGTTAAAGGTATGAAAGGATTTCTGGTTAAACAGGGAAAAGTACACACAGTTCCTTTTCACCATAAAAACTAAAAGGGATTATGAATTTTAATTAATTCAGACACTTCAAGTCCGCAGTATACATCCACACAACTTTCTAGTTACTATGCTGAAAAAAACTTTTACCTGGTAGACAGAAATTGAAAAACATCCTGTTAGATAGAAACAGGAATTTGAATAAAATACAGGTGCTTGATTAAAAGAGATCAATCTTGCTGACTAGTCATATCATCAATTTAATGAAAACCTAATTCCTTGCACACAATTTATTGCTGCCTCAATATAACTAGGAATTTACAGCTAAAACAGATTTATAACAGATTTAACCTAGGACATGGTTATTTTAGGAGCTGACAATTAACTGCATTCTGGATGGAGATTTTACAACTCAGTCTTTCGAGAACACATGGTTTATTGGTATTATTGTGCCAAACTATTAAAAAACAATATAATACACATAAAACTATGATTTGAGAACAGTTCTCAAATCTATGGACAGAATAAATAGCCTTTATCTAAGATTGTATTTCTGACCAGCAGTCAACTGAGGTCTATCAAGCTCCGTCTCGTCTCGGCTGGAGGTAAATCTTACCAAACTATCAGGAATGTAGGTCAGACAAGGGAGGTAATTATTAGTAGATCTTGTGATATTGGTTACTATATGATAAATGGGTATGTATATAATAAGGGTACAGAGCATGCAGCACTATCATAATTAGTTCATACTGCAAACATGGCTTTTTTTCCAAGGATTTAAATTGATGCGGATGGCTTCATTGATGCCAAATGAATGTCTTTTTCAGTGTCATAAAATGCACAATTATTTTCTTTGTTAATGTAATTTATATTTTTTAGGTATCAATTTTTGGCAGTTTTATTTTGTCCTAGTTATCAGTAAAAAACGGAAAAAGAAAACATTTACAGTAGCTTGTCTCTGGTCTTACAGTAGCCTGTCTCTGGTCTATCAGTAGCCTGTCTCTGGTCTTACAGTAGCCTGTCTCTGGCCTTACAGTAGCCTGTCTCTGGTCTATCAGTAGCTTGTCTCTGGTCTTACAGTAGCTTGCCTCTGGTCTTACAGTAGCTTGTCTCTGGTCTTACAGTAGCTTGTCTCTGGCCTTACAGTAGCTTGCCTCTGGTCTTACAGTAGCTTGTCTCTGGTCTTACAGTAGCCTGTCTCTGGCCTTACAGTAGCCTGTCTCTGGTCTCACAGTAGCTTGTCTCTGGTCTCACAGTAGCCTGTCTCTGGTCTTACAGCAGCTTGTCTCTGGTCTTACAGCAGCTTGTCTCTGGTCTTGTCTCTGGTCTTACAGTAGCTTGTCTCTGGTCTTGTCTCTGGTCTTACATTAGCTTGTCTCTGGTCTATCAGTAGCTTGTCTCTGGTCTTGTCTCTGGTCTTACAGTAGCTTATCTCTGGTCTTACAGTAGCTTGTCTCTGGTCTTACAGCAGCTTGTCTCTGGTCTTACAGTAGCTTGTCTCTGGTCTTACAGTAGCTTGTCTCTGGTCTTACAGTAGCTTGTCTCTGGTCTTACAGTAGCCTGTCTCTGGTCTTACAGCAGCCTGTCTCTGGTCTTACAGTAGCCTGTCTCTGGCCTTACAGTAGCTTGTCTCTGGCCTTACAGTAGCTTGTCTCTGGTCTTACAGTCTGTCTCTGGTCTTACAGCAGCCTGTCTCTGGTCTTACAGTAGCCTGTCTCTGGCCTTACAGTAGCTTGTCTCTGGCCTTACAGTAGCTTGTCTCTGGTCTTACAGTAACTTGTCTCTGGTCTTACAGTAGCTTGTCTCTGGCCTTACAGTAACTTGTCTCTGGTCTTACAGTAGCTTGTCTCTGGTCTTACAGTAGCTTGTCTCTGGTCTATGATTGACAATTTTGTACCATTATGATTTACATTGTTTTTTTGCTCTGCATTTCAAGTTACAAACTGTAACAATACAAGACAAACAGAAGAGTATATTATCCTATCCTTATTCATAAACTTAAATCCAAAAGATTGTACAAAAGACAAAGGAATGACACCTTTCAATATAGATAAAGAAGAGATACTGTAGAGCCAATGAGTTTGAATGGTTTTAACTTTTTTTCTGAAGTTATCATTGGACTTGAGATTAGAACCATGTTAACTTTAGGAGTCGAGATTTGTTTGGGACACCATTGATAATCAATTCATATGTCTGTTTGAGTGAATGACATCAAGGTCAGCGACGTTACTGACATTCATTGTTAGTGATGTCACTTACATTCATCAACAGCGATGTCACTTACACTCATTGTTAGCGATGTCACTTACACTCATCGTTAGAGATGTCACTTAAATCCATCATCAGCGACATCACTAACATTTATCAACAACGACATTACTATCGCTCATCTTAAGAGACATCACTAGCACTCAGACAATCACATGTCCCATCTCAAAATGAATAAGAAAATCTGTCAGATGTTTATGATGATGTGCCCAAGTCACTCAGTTTTCATATACAATATTGACCACGTGAAATAGGGAAAAAAATGTAGTAAACGGTACATGTACTTACTTGGTAGAGATGAGGACTGTTTCTCTCTCAGTGTTACGTTCGTCATCTGTACAGCTGACTCCCGGGTAAGCTGGGGAGGCACCTTGGTAGAATCAGAAAAATCCATTTTTATTTACAAGTGATAAACAAAACACGTTTATAGGCCATCCTGTCAACTTAATAATCCCAGGTTTCATAAATTCCTTCATCAAATGTGGACAAACACACTTTTATAATAGCCTAGTAATATCTACATCCGTTCACAGTTATGTAATGATGGCTATCCTGGAGAAATCTGGAGTAAAACACTGTTTTATCAGATCAGAATTCCCTTGTGTGTGTAATCTGACACGGAAATGTCTGCGACCATGTTGTTCCTTCTCAAACAAAATAAAATATACAAATAATTTCTCATGAGAAAGGGTCCGGGTCATGAATGGTATAACAATTTTTATAAACGTGTATATACTAGTCACACAAACTGTACACACTATTAGATCGCTCCGGAAGGACTTTCCCAGAGCGTTGGCCAAGTGCATTAATAGTCATAAAAAAACCCGGTGAGTTACAGAAATCCAAATTTTCAATGAATTACAGTACTATATGGAAAGCCTATGGGATCCCAGGGCTGAATGTACAGACAGCCTCACTGGTACCACTACAACACTCATGTCCTTATCTAGATCTTACACTTCCTGTTGACCTGGTAGATAAAAAATATCATCATGCTTCAGGCTTTTTTCTGACCTTACTCCAAGATGTTTTTATCAATAAACACAGTTTGTTACTAGATCACACTAAAAATAGACACAAGTGAAGATAAAGCAGTGTGAAAGAAGGAATATGATTGGTTGTTTAGGATGTTAGGGAGTCTCTGATTAGTGGTTGCTGTACCCCCTGCCCCCAGTCTAGTGGTAACCCTTCTTCCTGAACATTGATAGCCTATCACCACAGCAATCAAGGCCAAACACACAACAAAGTCACTAAATTTATCACCATACATGTTCAATCCACAGGAAAAACTCCCTGTCTAGAATTATTGGGTCCACATTCCAACTGGGCCTTACTGATCCTAGTCTGAAAGGGATCATTTGTAGTCATAGTAACTAATGCTAAATAAACGGGTCACCCATTAATGAAAATTTTCTAACTCCAGTTTCATTTAGCTCTATATGAATGGCTCAATTAACTCTTAACAGCTGATAAGCAGTGGAGAGTGGGCAACAAGGGGTGTTTTCATAAGAGACACAGGAAAGTTGGGTTGGGCAGGATGAGGAAGTGAGGTGATGTTGGGAGGCGTGTTATGAAGGAAATTAGGAATTGAAAGGGAGTTGGGCAATGACAAGATAAAATATACAGGAAAGTGGTACACATCATTTCAGACAAGATATTGAAGTATTATTGTCTGCCAAGTTGGAATTTTCTAGAAGTGTTGTCCTCAGCCATGTAATTGTGGTAACATCATACCTAATTCTAGGACTAACAACAAAACAGTGAGAAATTCTGGAACATACATCACTCTCTGGAAATGTAAACAATTCTCCGAAACAGAAGTCTTTCAGTGCAGAATGAATACAAGCATGCCTAGCATTATGTTTACATTAGTTTGTGTAACGTAATTCATCTATACACAAACATCCCACACAATACCTACTAACAACACAAAACCACACTCCCACACACCAGTGTACTGACATCACATTACCACCCTCCCACACCACAGTGTACTGACATCACATTACCACCCTCCCACACCACAGTGTACTAACATCACATTACCACACTCCTACACCACAGTGTACCGACATCACACTCCCACACCACAGTGTACCAACATCACATTACCACACCACAGTGTACCGACATCACATTACCAAACTCCCACACCAGTGTACTAACAACACAAAACCACACTCCCACACCACAGTGTACCAACATCACATTACCACACCACAGTGTACCAACATCACATTACCACACTCCAACACCACAGTGTACTAACAACACAAAACCACACTCCCACACCACAGTGTACCAACATCACATTACCACACTCCCACACCACAGTGTACCAACATCACATTACCACACTCCCACACCACAGTGTACCAACATCACATTACCACACTCCAACACCACAGTGTACTAACAACACAAAACCACATACCACAGTGTACCGACATCACATTACCACACTCCCACACCACAGTGTAACAACAACACATTACCACACTCCCACACCACAGTGTACCAACAACACATTACCACACTCCCACACCACAGTGTACCAACATCACATTACCACACTCCCATACCACAGTGTAACAACATCACATTACCACACTCCCATACCAGTGTAACAACAACACATTACCACACTCCCACATCACAATGTAACAACAACACAAAACCACACTCCCACACCACAGTGTACCAACAACACAAAACCACACTCCCACACCACAGTGTACATTACCACACACACACAGTGTAACCACACTCCCACACCACAGTGTACCAACAACACAAAACCACACTCCCATACCACAGTGTACCGACATCACATTACCACACTCCCACACCACAGTGTAACAACAACACATTACCACAATCACACACCACAGTGTACCAACATCACATTACCACACTCCCATACCACAGTGTAACAACATCACATTACCGCACTCCCACACACCAGTGTACCAACATCACATTACCACACTCCCACACCACTGTACCAACATCACATTACCACACTCCTACACCACAGTGTACCAACATCACAAAACCACAATATCACACCACAGTGTACCAACAACACAAAACCAAACTCCTACACCATTGTGTACCAACATCACATTAGCACACTCCTATACCAGTGTAACAACAACACATTACTACACTCCCATACCACAGTGTACCACATCACATTACCACACTCCAACACCAGTGTACTAACAACACAAAACCACACTCCCACACCAGTGTACCAACATCACATTACCACACTCCCACACCACAGTGTAACAACAACACATTACAACACCACAGTGTAACAACATCACATCACACACCACAGTGTACCAACATCACATTACCACACTCTCACACCAGTGTACCAACATCACATTACCACACTCCTACACCACAGTGTACTGCCAACACATTACCACACTCCCACACCACAGTGTACCAACATCACATTACCACACTCCCACACTACAATGTACAGTATGACATGTTTGAATTGTCCCTGATTGTACACCACGATAGTTTCAGCACCCTTTACTTTCCAGCAGTATAACTGCTTTGATTTTGTCACCGATTCTTCATCGCACTGGAATGCTGAAAAGAAACTTGCTTTTACACAACTCTTTCAGCAGTTAATTAACTCCTGATGCTTTGAAATTAGAAGAAATTATATTAATCTCAAAATAATCAATGATCAAGTTTAATTCTATCCATCAATTCACTTTAACTGTGAAAGTGCTATCTAAAATCATTAATGCCCTCAACTCTAACCTTAATAACATTAGTACTGATTGCATTTCAGAAATCCCTCTGGTACTGACCTACTTCATTCAAGGTCATATCAAGTAGCTCGCCTGGTACTGACCTACAGGTACTACATTCAAGGCCATATCAAGAAGCTTGCCTGGTACTGACCTACTGCACTCAAGGTCATATCAAGACGTTTGCCTGGTACTGACCTACTACACTCAAGGTCATATCAAGACGCTTGCCTGGTACTGACCTACTACACTCAAGGTCATATCAAGTAGCATGCTTGGTACTGACCTACAGGTACTACATTCAAGGTCATATCAAGTAGCTTGCCTGCTACTGACCTACAGGTACTACATTCAAAGTCACATGATTACAGCACAGACTGGCTAGTTCAGACTATAGATGAATGTGTAGCAATCAATCCTGTGAAAGGTCTTGTTTTGTTTGGTGTTAGTACACCTCACTGATGTTATCAGAAACTGACTGACTGTCTCACAACACCTGTGACAGTACATAGCCTTACAACAATCATCAATATCTTATACATGTTTTTAAATCACTCAGACAACGATCTAATTTCATGGAAGACAGCCTCTACCACAGTTATCATAAAAAGTACATGTTTATATGGACTTAAAGGTCAGAGTTTTTTTTATTGGTTCAAAGCTCTCGACTAACCCTGAGTAACATGTAGGCCGTTACGAACCATGACGTCAGCTTATTGCTACCAAACACTTACTACATAATGTTGTTGTTCATTATAATACCAATATGCAAAAATAAATGTGCTGAATTAAAAAAAATCTTTGATGGTGATCTTTCCTCTAAAAAATCAAAAGTGAAAAAGAATAAAACTCCTGTTTAGACACTCAAACAAGCTGACCATGCTGGTGAGTGTCGTCTCATGACAGACAGATCTTTGTGTAATTAAGACTTTGTGTTCATCAGTCTAGGTTTTCAAGTTTAAATTTCAACAAGTTTATCACATGTAGGTATACAGACAACCTATATTTCAGTGACTCAAACTGACAGTCAAAAAGACAACCCTTTATCTGATATCACATAATACAGATTCCTATCACAGCTAAATAATGGCCCAGGTTCAACTGGTTTACTGCACTTTAATATATTCTGAATTGCAATGGATTTTAAAAGACAAACGGTTTTCTTTTTCTTTAAATATTTCAATTCTGTGTAATACATGTATCTATGTACAAAATGGCTTGTGTTTTAACTACAAGATATATCCTCATCATCTCATTAACCATAACAAGGTGTCAAAGGCCTGTGTATAGCATCACACAGGTAGCATACTGCTTTAACATAAAGACCTGTGTTTACAAGTCTTAATGTAAACAAAACTCACAGCAGAGATCTATTGTTTCACCAAGGTTTAATCCCAAATGGCTTCTCAAAGATTAATCTCTGAACCTTCCCAAGGTTTAATCCCTCCAACCCATCTCAAGGTTTAATTCCTTCCACCCATTCCAAAGCTTTATCCCTTCAAACGATCCCAAGGCTTAATCCTTCCGACCCATCCCAAGGTTTAATTCCTTCCACCCATTCCAAAGCTTTATGCCTTCAAACGATCCCAAG